CTCCCACATATTCTTCCTTACTTTTTTTTCTTTAGCCTTTCCTGTCTCTTTCCTGCTGTCTTTATTTTTAAGATCTTTTTGCCCTCCACCTCTCTCCACTGTTACCATATTTGTCACAGTTTCAGCCAGTTATCCTTGAGGACAGTTTACACCAGCTTTCAAAACAAGATGACAGTCTAGGAAAAACCTGAGTCCTGCAGTTCTTTTTTGGCAGGTGGATACTGTATGAGTGTGTGCATGTGTGTGCTTCTCTGTAGGACTGTAGGCCAGAAGCGATTAGAGAGAGAGAGATGAGAATTTTATTGAACAGTGGTGTCTAGCATTCTGTTCACAGACGAGCACTGCCGCAATGATTGGTGTCTACCTACAAGTTCTGCTGCAAAGGTGAAGATTGATGTCAGCTATGTACACCCACTTTAATCAAACTACAGTATTTGCTGACTCTGACTTATATGTCTCCAATGTATTACTTATGTCTGAAAGTTCAGTACATGCCGTCAGAACGTGTACTACTTGATGAATAATAAAACAATATATCGTAATTTGAAAATTCATAATGATAATGAAGAAATGAACAGATGGTTACAATACAACAAACTGTAGTGTCGCATTTGTAAGCTTGTATTATCTTATTGCTGCTTCTATTCACTGCAGTGAAAATGTCACTGACAGGTCATATAATGCATGACCAACATTTCCCAGTAAGAAAATATGGAGAGCATCTCCTACCACTGCAAATGCTCTGTTTTTGGTGTTTCACTATGTTCTACCAGACAGATGGATGCATGAAAATAGAAATCTCATGTTCTTTTTTTAGTTTGTATAAAGGCTGCTGTTTTAAAGACTTGGGATGAATTAAAGCTACAGTATGTAACTTAAAGTAGTACTATCATGAAACTCCAAATTAATCCATTCTGCTCCGCTCAGTGCTTCCTCTCCCCGCTCCACTATGCTCTGCTATGCTCTGCCACACTCTACCCAGCTCTTCAGATATTTGTTATAATGAAATAACAATATAGTGAATGCACCAAAACTTACTAAACAAGCAGAAAAAGCTGAAAATATCTGATTGGTTGGAGAGGTCAATCCTGCTCAAAGTCTTTTATAAGCTACTATCCCTGCACTGCTGCCAGTGCTGTTCAATATGTCTGGGTCACAGGAGGCTTTGACAGCACCTCTCCACATTAAGACAAGTTTTGAAGCATATTTCTATAACAAATATTTGAAAAAAGCTACATACTGTAGCTTTAAGTATCATGTACCTGTAAATTGAGTTTTGCAAGAGAACAATGTACACATTGATCCCATTTTTACTTTACCAGAAGTCACAAGGTAGAGAAGTTAAAACTCACTTGTGACAATGTAAAATTTGAAGTCACTCTGACTTGACAGAAAGGAAACATCTCTAAGCTGGACAAACTTCAGAGCTGAATGTTATTGATGCTTTTTGCCCTGATATGTTGGGATTTTCAACTTTTTATTTGTTTATTTTACAGTGTAGAATCCTGAACTCATAAAGAAAACTCAACCAGATGGCTCCCATTTAATCCCAGATAAAACTTTAGTGTATTTCAGATTGTGCTGCACCATGCCACTTCAACAAGCCTCTTCATGTATCACAGCAGTAATACTGAAAACTCCAGGCACAAACCATTTTTCTTGCTTGATTTCATTGCTTGAAACAATCCCTCTTGTGACTAGAGTGGCACAATTTACTGGTGTTTCTGGATCCAGTCTAAAAACCCATTTCTTTCCTCGTTCATTTGGCCAGTTATACTCACCATTAGAACAGTGACCCTGTCCCTTCTCATACTTTCTGGTTAACAAGCATCAATACAAGTGCACAGGTGCTTCAGTGGGGTGGGAGGAAGAATATGTGTATGTCTGTGATGTGTACCAGAGCTTTGTTTGCATCTTAGCAGTGTCAGCATCTTTGCAATCGTTGACTTTTAAGACTGTGTTGTCCGACCTGCTGATGATGCACAAGATGAATATTTTGGTCATTAATGTTCCATGAAGTCTTAAAACTTGAATTTTTTTATTTTTTAGGCAGTTTCAGCACAATCTGCATGTAACCCTTTAAAAGATCAATTTAAGACATTTGTCTGGACAAGCAGTGTCTGCAATTTAAGTTGATGATCACATATTCGTATCATTATTAAATTAACTGACTAAAGCTTAATGAACTTGTCAGTGAATCTAATCTGGACACAAGACATTCTGTAAGTTTTCTAGGAGGATTTTATGCATCTTGTTTTTGATATATTATTACTGCTCACCATATCATTTTGTTATTGGCTGTGTTTTTAGATATTGATTCATTGTGGGTATTGTTTAAAAATGCTGTCAGCACTAGGTTCATTAGAAATATCAACTTTTGGAAATGTTGCACTTCTAATTGTCAGGTTTGCCCGGCTGCACCTGCCTTTCTCACTTCTCTCCCTCTATTTTAGCTCCCTTACCCCTGATTTCTTTATCTGACACACCTGCTTCACGTCCCCTGAATCACCACCAGCTGCACCTGATTAGTTTCTTCCTATTTATACCGTGCTCATCGTCCACTTCCCTGCCAGTTCTTTCTATACTCTAGCCCGTTTCTATGCCGATCATTTATTTTGTCTACTATATGTATTTGCTCACGCTCTTCATCCCAGCTCCGTTCCTGCCTTGTGCCCCGTGTATTGTCTTCCCAGCCGCTATCGCTTCTCCGGATCACGGACCTCCTCAACTCCACATCACTCCACCATGCAGGTCATTGCACAGTCTCCCATTAACTGTTTCTCTGACTTTGTCCCTCAGCAACCAACCACCACGACCAGTCCAGGAGTGAATCCTAGCGTCCGCAGCCCGGCCTCCTCCTTATCATCTCATCACTGACTGTATGTTTTCCATGACTGCCGCTCGACACCCGGTTCTGCTCCGTATTCCTTCACCTGGTTGTACACATATTTATCATCACTGTAAATAAATAGAGCACTTCTTGCACCGAAGTCAGTTACCTGGGTCCATCATTTTTGACTCGCTCACCTCCCTACCAGAGCGTTCCTACCACTAATTCAACACTCATGATTGTGTTTTCCTACACATCTGACTGACAAAGCTCAGCTTCTCTGTTTATCAAATAAAAATGTTATTACCACATTGACTAAAAAGCTGCTCACTTTTAAAAAGACATTAAAAGTTTAGAAATGTAGTCAAAGTCTTTGTGCTGCTCTTCTGGCCAGACACCAGAAATCAGAGTGAACTGCCGCCTCACTAAATTTCCATAATAAAAGTTTATGAAGCGCTCGAAGGCATTTGATTCTTACATGGACAGTGAGGAAAATTAAAACTATTATCTCTTTGCAGCATACCAAATGGTTTTCCTTACATTTTGGGGAGACAATCATATAGCAGTTTATCATGTTTACATAGTAATTATCATAATACAATTAGCAATCTGAAGCCACTTGCCAGTTTATCCATGTTTGAACTGTCTAAATCCAAACTCAATTAACTTCTCAGTCAGCAAGCTGTACTGAGCAGATTACTGACTATGAAAAATGCAAAGTTTGTGTTAAAAATACTTAGGCTTTTTTAAGTTGTCATTGGATAGTATTCATTTATCCCTCTATCCTTTTATCATTCTAAGCCTTTTATCATCATTAATAAAGAGTCTAAACACTGGAGCTGTCAGAGGAATAAAGTCAACTATACACAGGTTTGTGTTTCTTCTTGCAGAAATCCAAAATGAAATGTGTGATGATCAAAAGAGTGCACAATATCAAGGCTGAGAGTAGATTATCCTACTTGAATGTGTAAAATCAAATATTCTACAATCAGTTTCTGTTGTTGGGAAATGACTTTAAATAAAAACACTGTGCTTGTTCACAGTCTTTGTTGCTTATTGGAAAAATGTTAAGAGCTATCACTAACATATTGAAGAATCTGTTGCTTAGTAATGGCCAAATCTTATTCTAGGGAATTTAATGAGGTGAGAGTTTAACTTCTACTATAAACTCATTCTCTCAAAATCTGGTGCTTTTATGAGGTTAATTTCATTTTCCATCACTATTATTTTTACTCTTAAATTACACTTTATAACTGTGTCTACATTTAGAACATGCTAGCACAATAATGCTTTTTGTGTGTGTGTGTGTGTGTGTGTGTGTGTGTGTGTGTGTGTGTTGGAGCTGTATTCCAGCACAATGGATTTGAAATTAGACTGTGTCATTGATGTGTAAATCAGATAAGCGGTGCAGGAATCTATATTCAATGAGATGAAACTGCTTGATTTCAGAAGACACTGGTCTCTTCTCTGCTAATGCGTGTTTTGCTTTCTGGCGTTACTGTATCACCTTTGTTGGAGGTCTTAACTGTTCCACTTGGTTCCTCTGCCAAATTATATTCAAACTAATAAGATTAGTGGGGCCCCAGTTTATTGCCGCAGGTCTCAGGTTTGTGTGTCAATGTCTAACGCATAAGTAGTTTGAGCAGAGTCTGTTCTGATCATCACTGAAGTATTTTAGGCCAAGATGGAAAGTGTTTTGTGCAGGAAGACATGACTACTGTACGTACATGCACTATAATTGGACTTGTTTGCTGCTGCCATCCCCCCCTCAGATCTATTCTGGTCCACCACATCCAGTCTTATTATTGTTTTTTGTGTCCAGTTCCAGTGTGAATGTTTCACATTGGACTCAACATTTTGGCATCAGAAAGACCTGAAGTTGGGCACCCCCCCATAAAGTTGAAGTTTTTGTTAAAATCCACATTGTTACGATATAACTTGAGTACATAGACAACTGTTGCAATGATTCTTCTGCATGTGGAAAAGTTGTTAGGATACAATGTCACAACTGTCCAGTATTTTAAAAATACCCGCAGGCCAATCAGAATCATGTGTTCTCTGTGGTCATAATGTAATCATTAGGACTTTGTAGGACTACATGACTTAGATGCATAAATGTCTACATTCACACAAGCTTCCAACTTCCACAGCTCAACCACCCACTGCTCACCATGGCTAGCGGGACAATGCCACCAAAGTCCTGTGGGGCCAGGCGGATGAGGGTCTGCACCTCAGAGGTCAGGGTGCGGGTGAGTGGATACTCCACCCCCCCTGAGTCACCATCAGGCCATTCACCTCCAGGTCCACCTGTAGCACTTGCTGGTAGCCTGCCACCTCCACGCTGCAACAATAGAGAGTGAGAAGATCTGTGTCAGGTGTGAATTTAGATAAAGGAGGGAGAGCAAAAAGGAATCGGAGCGGCACATGCCAAAGAACAATAGAAATAAGGTGGGAGTCAAAAGGAATGAGAAAGTAGCAGGGAAATAGATGAAATAAAGGAAGGAAAAAATAAAACTCTACAGTGACAAGAACACATCTGGAATGGGAAAACGGAAGCAGATGAAAAAGGGAAGAAGATGTGAGAAACGGGAAGAGGTGGTGGAAAGGAATGATGAAAATAGAACAGAAACAAGGAGGAAGAACTTGGTTAAAGGAGGCATAGTGCAAAAGAGAGAAAGCAGGAAATTGGTCTTTATTCATTAAAATGTGTTGGGGGAAGGACTCGAAATGCAGAAATGAATTCTTCATATTATTAGCTGTAAAATGTAACGTAACACAAACACTAGTATAGATAGAGGATGGCTCAGCAGTATTACATGCAGATGTTGTATAGGGCTGTGCTTTCTTTCTTAATATTTAAACAATGTATCCCTCATCTCAAAATCTGATGCAAAACTAATTGCAGAACTATTGAAATTTATTCTCACATCCACGCAGAACCATGATGTTGACAACAAAGCAATTTATTTTTCCTTTTGCAATATGGAGCTTCTCTCACAGAGATTGTAAGGGCCAAGCAAATAATTTTCTCTCAGCTGATGGAGATGCAAAGCAGAAAAACAATGAATTTGCTGAGCACTGGCTTTGATCAAGCTCCCTCAGCTGTACTTTGTCACAGTCAAAAGTCAATGTAACACCTTTTCCAACACCCAGGCACATATATACATAGTGTCTTAAAAAATACAATTTGCACTTGGGCATCTAGAAATGGCTCACAGAGGTAAATATTCATGTTGTGTAACTGTGTTCCTTTAGACAGAAAACAGTTAAAGGCCAATTAAAGATATGTTTAGAATTTCAGAAAATAATTGGAGGCAACAGATGTACATGTTTGAACAAGAAAGGAGAAATCTTGAATATGAAGGTATTTAGTACATCACCCTCTGAGTCTTTCTGTCCTCAGCACTAAGTTTGTTGTTTGGTTGTCAACCAATTAAAAACAAGGCTAGAGAGAGCCCACATTAAGGGGGGGTGGGGTGTGTTGGTGGGAAGAAGATTCAAGGTTTTCCTTGAATATGTTGTGGCAAAGCATGTTAAAACATCTCCTACAGTATTTGTGCTCACAATTCAGATACTAGCCTCACTTCAAAGTACAAATTTAAGGAGCCACACTGGTAGGAAAGTGTAAGAGAAGTCAGTGTGGATGAAAACAGCTTGATTAGCAATTCTGGATCAGGCAGAAACGCTTTGCAGTTTCAGTGGATAATGTTCAGAATTATACTAAATGTTTCCTAATAACTGACTTAGACTTTGGCCAAGGATACTGCGGGTCATGGTTTCTTAACCTCTTATCCTTCTGCAAAAGAGAGAGCAGGAATAGACAGTACTCTCATACTTTCATTACTCTTCCTCTCAATCATATTTCCTCCTAATGTCCTTAATTTACATTTAAGTTTAAATGAACTTAAATTTGTAAACTGTTTCATAATTACATTGTTTACGTTCAGGCCTAAGTCCAAATCCCACTATGATTTATTAAAACAAAGAGCATAACCAAATATTCTTGTGATAACATAACCAAGAAACTTTTTGTACGCTACTGTATACTTGCACTTTTTAAATTGTTTTCCTGTTGGGTGCAGTGTAACACATTCTAGGCTAATTTTTGTTCTTTGAAAGCCATTTCATTTCAGTCAAAGTCAAGCTAAACAGAGGAAGTAAACTTCTGATAACAAACATCTGACGCAACCCAAACTGCACATTATAGTTCTATATGGTTACTCATATTAACCTGGTTGTTGAAAAATCCCCTCTTTTATGTGTATATGTTATGGTTGGCTGTGGCCTGTGAGTATGAGTGACTTGTTGACGCTCAGGTCCATCCATCACTCTTTTCCTTCTCAATTTCCTTCTCGGACAGACATTCTGAGTGCTACAGAGCCACAGTGGGATATCCTCTACTGCCTGACAACATGCTGGGCTCAAGGGTAGTGACTGCAGTGATTATGTGGTTTACGCTTATGGTGTACAATTACAGCCAAATCAATTACCTGCAACAGTCAATCCTGCTTCCACAATGCAGATACAAATAATCAGCGCTTTAATGTTGAATGCCACAACTCCCCTTCTCTCCCTATTCAGTCTGTCTTTTTCACTGTTGTCTTTATTATTGTCTTCATCTCATCTTTGCATTTCAGTCTCTATTTCCTCCCTCATGTGCAGTGTGATATTGTTCCAAATAGAGGGCAGTGTGCTCTCTCTCTCTCTCCCTCACCCTCACCCTTTCAACCAGCATGTGTGTGAGATGATAAATGTCCACAGCCCACCAGTTGGAGAGGTCAGCCTGCTTCCTCCATGTCTCATTAGAAACAGAACTGCACCGTGTGCCCTTTTCTCAGTGCGATTACCATACAATTCAATGCTCTCAGTGGCAACTATCACTTCTCCTTCCCTGACTCATGAATGGGGATAAGAGCAAGAGGTAGACGCAGGCAAAAACACAGAGCAGAAAAAGGGTTAGAGGGGCTACAATAAAAGCAAAATGTTTACTGGGATCACAGAACTAACTGTGTCACTACAAAAGCAGCATAGCGACAATGCCCTAGTATCATAGCAGGCTTGTTGTGGTGAAGTGAGGTGGAATATCTGTCATGCCATTTTGAGGAGGCTTTTGAGGTATCTCCATTTGTTGGCCCCGTTGTTTCCTGTGACAGCATAATCAGAACAAGGGAAAAGAATCCACTCAGAGGAAAATATGTGCACATTTTCATCAATTCTTTAAGATGCACTTCAAGCACACCATTGTAGCAGCAAAGGGGCTCAGAGCGGGGAGAAATGGCATAACAAAATTCCTTTTGTTTGAAAACAGGGAAATAAATGCGGAGCTGAGGAACACAAAAATCGTGTTAAACATGCAGCCACACCTCAGTGGATATCTGACTCTGAGAAAGGTAGTGAAAATAAAGTGTGCTGTCTCTTTGGGAGACCCGTGGGGTTCCTTTCATGCACAGCAGTGACTTGGTTATGACTGACAACAATGATACATCAAAGAGCTGAATCTATTTCAACACAGTGAATCAACAGTGAGTCCAGCAACTGCAGGAGAGGGAGTCTGAGTCTGTGTGCTAACATCGAGTAAAAGTGGATACATTTTTGTCCATTTCAGGGACGAGAAGAAATGTCCAGCTTGTTCTCATAGTTGGTGTGAGGATATGTTTGGCCGTAACTCGTTACTAGTATCGCATTACTGTAATTCCCCAGTAATGAGTAGTGTAAAAAGTTACAAAAATAAATTTCAGTAATAATATGATGGTTGCTCCCTCCAAAAACAACTTGTTACAACATTACTTTAGTTGTCACCACGGCAAAGATTGATTTGAAATGCAGCATGTGTTGCACGTGCACACATCACTACACATCATTTAGCAGCACTATAAACAGTAAGCTGGCTCGGAAGATGCACCCCAACCCCAACAAACACGGAGGATGTCGGTACCCCCGGGTAAAAATCTGTGGGGTGTAACAGAAAAGTAATATAATGAGTAGTGTAAGGAGTCATGTTTGACGAGGAGTAAAAAGTCATTTTTGAAGAGTAATGAGTAATATATTACTGTTTATGAATAATGAGCCCAACGCTGGTTGACTATGACTGCACTTGTTGTGGGGTCAGTTTTTTGTGATGGATATTCCTGTCGTTGAGATTTTGTTTGTTCTGGACAAGATGTTTTTGTTTGCACTTTGTGTGTGTGTGTGTGTGTGTGTGTGTGTGTGTGTGTGTGCACGCTGATTTTGTGTTCCAAGAAGGATGTGTTAAGATGCACAGGAGGAATTTATCAGGTTTCTGTTGATCAATCATTTTAGCACTACTTACTTTGTCTAAACACACAGACTTTTTGATGCAGACTTTATGATTCAGGTCTGCTAGCAACAAGAAAATATAAACAGTTTGAAACCAACAGTAATTGTTCAAACTTAGGTGTGATGATGGATGGGATGTCAAATTAATATAGCTTTAATCTCACCTGTGTTGTAGAATCATAAGTAGCAATTATTTCAGGGTCTTAATATGGAGAAGGAGCAAAGAACCAGAAGCTTTTATGAATTTTGGGGAAATTTGTGAATCTACACAGCTGATGTTAAGTAACTCTTGTAAAATCAGTGTTCAAAATCTGTGTTTCAGTTTCTTGCTTAAATGCATTGCATTTGCATCCAGGATGTGCTGATATTTAGTACTGAGCCACTGGCTGCAACACAAGCTACAGCGGAATATTTTCACCCCCACGCTTAACAGTTGGTAAAGGGGGTGTTACTAAGTACTGACTGAGTAGAGTCACTGTGCCAGGAGATAAATCATTCCAGATGTTTGTCCTTCCTAACTTTGTTTCTGAGTGACTTCAACAAATAAATTAATGTTTTAATTAGTGCATTTTAAAGATGCTGGCAGGCCTACTTTTGAACTCTGGGCAAAGCCATGCTAGCTGTTTTTCTTCTGCTTCCGGTATTTATGCTAATCTTAGCTATTACCTCGTGTTAGTATATGCACAGCCATGAGCATGGTGTTAATCCTATCACATTATTCTCAGCAGAAAAGCAAATAACTATACTTCCCAAAATATTGAACTACTTCTTTAATTGGAATTTTCATTGTGTACGGAAGATGTTTTTTTAAGATTTAATTAGTTCTTTCTTTCTTCTCTGAGTGTCGTGTGTGTGTGGGGGGGGACTCACACAATTTGCTTTTGCAGGTGTTTTACTTGTTTGCCATTTACTTATTCTCCAGCTGTATGCCTGAGAGATCTCTGCATTTAGAGTCTCAATGTCTCTCCAAGCAGGAATATGTTTTAATTCTAATTGGTTCAAATACCTCAAGGAAAATTAGATAATATCTTCAATGACTAAAAC